AGGAGGCCCACTCTGTGGGATCTCACTGGCCGTTGGGAGGTATCTGGCAGTAGGCGGTCTCGCAGGTACCCTGGTCCTAAGCCATGTAGGGCTTTAAAGATAATAACCAGCACCTTGAATTGTGTCTGGAGACCAATAGGAAGCCAGTGCAGCTCGCGGAGGATAGGTGTAACGTGGGTGTACCTTGGTACACCCAATATCGCTCGCGTGGCTGCGTTCTGGACTAGTTGCAGTCTCCGAACGCTTTTCAGGGGCAGCCCCATGTAGAGCGCATTACAGTAGTCCAGTCTTGAGGTGACGATGCTTATTAATGTTAAGATATTTTTTTTCCAGTTCCTAATAAGATAGGTTTCAGTTTTCCTAATGTGAACTACGGAATGGCTTTTATTTTATTTCATTTTATGTATGTAATTATTCCCCTCTGCATAAACTTTTATATTATATCCATTAAAAAAAAAAAAGTTTTATCGTTTTTGGAAAGGGGAGTCACTGTGTGCTACATTTCAAACATAATATAACCTGAGTCTAAACCTCAGCTTACTTTTCGATCTGATAGTGAAACACTTGTAAAAAGAATCCAGGGGGACTTACGATGGTCGATCCTCCAGAATAAGAGCAGTGGTTGAAAGTGGCTCAAATTCAAAATGTCTACGCCTTGTTGCTTGGGGTGCAGGTTTACAGAATTTTCCTATCCGTGCTTCATATTCCTAAACAAAATTAAATAATATGCTTTTACAGATTTGTAAATATATAATACACCTGCACAGTTCAGTTTCTACCCCTCTACCTCTTGAGATCAAGCGATTTAAAGTTGTGTCAGGTTCGTCTCAGATAAACAGTGGTGGCCACGAAGCAGGGCTGATTTAAGATTAAAAGAGAAACATTGCATCAGTGCCACCGAGAAATGTAGTTTCTGAGACTTACAACCTACAACAATATTACACAAGCTGAAAGTTACTAGCAAAGAGAAAGAAAGACACCAGGGGAATAATACTTTCCTAGTTCAAATGAAATAAGAGTACAAGGATTCACATTTGCACCATTGTCCTCCTCCAGCTTCACTGAGGATGGAGCGAGAATCTTTTCCTTCCATTTTTAAAGCAATTGGACTGAAACATAATATCTGATCTTAAATTCGGATTTAAAAAGATAGCAATCAAGCTGCATGCCAGAACAGTATTACTAGAAAACGCTACACCATAAACAATGATCCACCAAAAAGGGTCTTCTGAACATGGTTATATTGATACAGGTAGTTGTTGACTTACAACCATTTAACTACAATTCCAAGTTACAATGGCCTTGGAAAAAGTAACTTAAGACCCATCCCTGAAGTTATGACTGTTGCGCTACCCTCTATGGTCACATAATTGCAATTTGGACACTTAGTAACCAGCTCACATTTATGACAGTTGTGGTGCCTTGTGGTCAAGTGATTGCAACCTTCTCCACTGGCTTCTGACAATCGGGGAAAGCTGGATTTACTTCACCACCACGGAGTCGCTTAAAAACCGTTGTAAAAGTGGTCGTGGAATCACGTCTGGCCACATAATGACAGGCTTAACAACTGTATTGCTTAGTGACCAAAACTCCAGTCCAATTGTGGTAATAGGCGGAAGACTGTCTGTATCTCTTCTATATTTTGTATGCAATATTACATGATACTTCAATCTAAAATAAACACAGCTGGTGCTCAATTTGCAAAGAGTTCATTTGCTGATTGTTCAAGTTACAATGGTACACTGAAAAATGTTGATTTACGACCATTTTTCACTGTTGCGGCCTCTGCAGCATCCTCATAATCGTATGATCAAAATTCAGAAGCTCGGCAGCTGGTTCATACTTATGACCATGGCTGTGTCCCAAGATCAAGTGATCACCCTTTGGGACCTTCCCACAAGCAAAAGTCAATGGGGTGACTGCTTGTCAGAATCAACTGAGCCGAGGTGGCGCAGTGGTTAAATGCAGCCCTGCAGGCTACTTCAGCTGACTGCAGTTCTGCAGTTCGGCGGTTCAAATCTCACCGGCTCAAGGTTGACTCAGCCTTCCATCCTTCCGAGGTGGGTGAAATGAGGACCCAGACTGTGGGGGGCGATATGCTGACTCTGTAAACCGCTTTGAGAGGGCTGAAAGCCCTATGAAGCGGTATATAAGTCTAACTGCTGTTGCTATTGCTATAATACCACCTCTGGTTGCAAGTCAAAGACTACTTGTTTTATAATTTATGTATATCAGCCATGAAAAATATATTCATTACTTACACCTATCTGGTGGAATCAGCAATTTCTTTTTATTAAACAAGTTTGAACTGACCCTTAAACAATACTGATTGGCTAATACATTTCAAATCTTTATTAATATCCTAATATTTTCATCTTAAATAACTTGTCAATAGGAGCCCAAATTATTGTACCTCTCCCCAATTCTAAGTTTAAATTTATTTCCACCTCAATGGGTCCACTGGGAAGAATCAGCAGCTTAGATAACGGGCATAGAATATACACAAATATACGTCAAAGAACAAAATCGGCAGAATCAGCACACTTGCGCAAATGGTGCAACAAAATGCAACAGAAAAAGTGAACACATGGATGCAGAGGCTTTCATAGCTTATTAGAAGGCAGCACACTTAAAAGACTACTCAAAACATGTTGTGCTAATGTACTGTAATTCTTCAGCTTCCTGAACATACTTAATTTGCTTATCCTGTTGAAACCTATCTATTAATCTAGGATATAGACAGAAAGTGAATAAAATAATTACCCAGGTGTTGTCGATAGGTACTTTTACACTAACCTTCAAAATTTAAGAATTAGAAAATTACTCTTCGAAATAACATCAAAATATGAATGCTGAAACTATTAAACTACTGAATTCTGTACCAATGCAAATTCTATGCTGTACAGTGAAACGAAATCAATGGAGGCTAGAAAGTCGCCCTGTCTAATTCCCTCTAGGCTTTGCGGAGCCAAGCGCTGCCTCGGCAAACTGCTATGGCAGCAGCCGAAGGGGTCTCCTCGTGCTCCGGAGGGGTGAGCTGGAGATAGAGGGGGGGGGGATAAGGAGCTAACCCCCCTTTGGGAGGGTGCAACCAGAGACCGGAATTATGCTCCACGCATGCGCTCTCTCGCTTCAAGATGGCAACCGCTGACCATGCGGTCCGATCACGTGCTCCTCTATCTTTCTGCTCGCTTGTAGATCCTCTGGATCAGCCTGCACTCAAGCCGCGCTGTGTGCGCCGAGCCTGGGTTCCTCAGCTTCTTCGCCGGATCGCTGCTCGGGCCTTTCAGAAGCGCTACCGCTCCTGTGTCAGGCCTCGCAGAGCGCACGAGAGGAGGATCGTCCGACGCCAAAAAAGGAAAAACTTCTTCAGGTAAAAACTCCAAAGGGAAAAAGCCAAAATGGAAAGAACAAAGGAAAAAAAGGGGAAAGTATTTCGCGCCAAGGAGAGCCAGGTATTTAGCTCCTTCTGGGCCGAAGACTGAGGTTAATCTGGAGAGTCAGAGGAGGGTAGAGGTGTGGCCTCAAGATTTACCTCAGTCTCCAGGCAGATGGGCCCTGACAATACCCAGTTGTGACTCATCCCACGCCCCACTTCGGAGACTATACAGATTATACTAAAGTGTATAATCATTTTCAAACCACAGTGGCTAAGGGTGCATAGCACATAAATCCAAACAAAGGAAACCACGGGTAAATAAACTTGGTCCCTTATATAAATCAGGTCTATGACTAATACAAGATGATATACATAGTAGAGCCGTAAAGAGCTCCCAATCTGAAGGGCAAAATATAATGTGAAGCACTATAGATGCATAAAAGGACCTGCTAGGGATACATTAAAGCAGCTGCAACTTTATCTGGGTTTGCACAACCACCCTCTTCAACTCATCTAGAATCCCCCGAAAATGTTATGGGTCTATCCACTATACTCCAAATCATGTTTTGCCCTTTGAATTCAGATTGCACATTTGGTAAGCTCTCTTAAACATTTCTAATAAATCTAGATTCAAATAATAAAACTAATCTACATTATATTCCTTAAATTCTGTTGCATTGTGTCAGTCAGATCTTTGAAATGTGGTTGATTCCTCAACTGTCCATGAAGATGCTATGACCAGGATGGGAAGCCATCCATTTCCTGAAGGCACTTAGTGGGCAAGATATGCTGCAGAGAATCATGTTTGCACATCACAGCTGAACATTGGCTACAGTTTTTAATTTGTACACTGTAAGCATTTTAGTTCATACGCTTCGTGTCTACTACATTGGAGGAAATGCCAAGGGTAACAGCTACACAGCCTCAGCAAACACCATTGATGTAGATATATAGCAGCAACTAAAGTTCTCCTAATGCAACTGAGATTAACTTAGTTTGGAGTTTTTGCTCAAAGAAACTTGGCAATGTGTTTCCTCCCACTGCCTTTTCTACTTGGGCAGAAAACTATACTATACTATAAGTATTCAGGCAGGAAATATCTTGGTTTTTTAATCTCTGTATGTTTTTTACGCTCTTAAGAATTCTTAAAGCTGTTAGTCTTTAAACAGACATATTGGATTCCTTAGATTTTAAAAAAACCCTCTATTTTTAAGACACTGTGATCCCTTAATTGGGGTAGAATTGATTTGATGGAGCTGAGCGTTTACTGGCCGGATGCCCTCCCTGATGCCACATGGAGTTGGCAGCAGATATCTTTTCTTTCTTCCCTGGAGAAATATCTGTCGCTAGCTAGGATTGAACTCTTAACTTTTCAAATGGGAGGCTAGCCTCTTCACTGCTAGGCTACCACATCGCTCAACTGGATTCCTTATATCAGGGGTGTCAAACTCAAGGCCCACGGGCTGGGTGCTTAGATTTGCACTGTGGGGCCACCTTAAAAACAGCGAAGGACCAGCCCACAATAACTCTGCCAGCAAAAACGGAGCCCTTGGGCTCTGTTTTCACTGGCAGAGGGCTAGCAAAACAAAAACAACAAAAAAGGAGAAATGTTATAGCAATAGCAGTTAGACTTATATACCGCTTCATAGGGCTTTCAGCCCTCTCTAAGCAGTTTACAGAGT